CCGATCAAGCAGTGCCGACCTCGAAGCAGGTGTCCCCCCTGGTTTAATAAAACAATTAAATATTACAAGAATAGAAAAAACACGCTATTCAAAAAATATTGGAAAAGTGGATCTGCGCTCGACTATTTAGCTTACTCGGTGGCGAGGCGTAGATTTAACTCCCTCAATCACCACTCTTACTGCAGATACCTTCAGTTCATTAAATCCTCTCTGTTTGCTAATCCTAAATACTTTTTTAAATTTGTTTACTCTAAAACAAAAATTTCCACATATCCCTCTCATGTTTCTTTTAATGGCTCTGATTCCTCGGATGATTTTGAAATCTCAAATCTGTTTGCTGAGTATTTCCGACGAAACTTTTCTTGCTAATTTCGATTTATCAGCAAACTACTCATATCCTATAAATAACTCCGTCTCAATTCCCAACTTGGTAATTTCGGAAGAAGACGTTTTTAAGGGGTTGAGTTCTCTAAAACATTGTTGTGCGCCAGGACCTGATGGAATTCCATCATGTGTACTTAAATCTTGCGCTGTCGAGTTATGTGGTGTGATCTCAAAGATTTTTAACCTGTCCTTGAATTTAGGTGTTTTCCCTTCGTGTTGGAAGAGTAGTTCTCTTATTCCTATCCACAAGAGTGGAAGTAGACAATTTGTTGAGAACTACAGAGGCATAGCCAAGTTGAGTGCTTGCCCAAATTGTTCGAGCGTATTGTGACTCAGCATTTGGCCTTTGCCATTAATTCGTATATTTCTCCGCACCAGCACGGCTTTCGGAAAAGGCCGATCTACAGTCACCAACTTGTTAGAGTTTACCTGTCATGTTTCCAAGGCTTTTTCTAGTGGCTCTCGCACAGATGTTATTTACACTGATTTAAGCAAAGCATTTGATATGGTTAACCATAGACTACTTATCTTTAAACTCCAAGCCTCTGGTTTCCCACCCTACTTAGTGAAATGGATAAGTTCTTATCTGCACAATAGATCCTTCAGGGTTTTGTTTAACTTCATCACCTCGGATGAATTCCCCGTTATGTCCGGCGTACCTCAAGGAAGTCACTTAGGTCCCATTTTATTTAGTTTATACATTAACGATCTCCCGTCGATGGTTAATTCCAGCCAGATGTTAATGTATGCTGATGATGTGAAACTGTTTTCTTCCTTCTTTGTTGAATCGCAATCACATCTGCTTCAAGGTGATTTGGATAATTTTGTTGCATGGTGCTCTTTGAATCTTCTGAAACTAAATCTGAGTAAATGTAAGAAGCTTTCATTCTCAAGAAGAAAGTCATTCATTACTCAGTATTTCATAGATTCGCATAACTTGGAGGACGTCGATTCGATTACAGATTTAGGCGTTCTATTTGACCATAGGTTACGTTTTAACTTGCATATTGAGCTCTCAATTAGCAAAGCTAGGTCCGCGCTTGGTTTTATAAAGAGGTGGTCCAAAGAGCTTGATGATCCCTACATTACGAAAAGGCTGTACATGTGTTTGGTTAGACCCATACTCGAGTATGCCTCAGTTGTGTGGTCTTCTTCATATAGGTGCTACGTAGATTCAATTGAATCTGTTCAAAAGCAATTCTCGCTGTTTGCCCTTAGAAATTTGGGTTGGGATCCGATTGCCTTTCTTCCTCCGTATGAAAATAGGTTGCTTCTGCTGTTCCTACCGTCTCTTGAGAAACGTAGATTTGTTCTTGGCGTTTCCTTTCTAATTAAAGTAATAAATGGTGCTATTGATTCGCCTTCATTACTTGGTGAAATAAGCTTTAATGTCCCTAACCGCTTCTCTAGGCACTTTATCTTGGTTAAGCTTAGTCAGTGTGAATATAATTATGAGCTGTTTAATCCGCTCAGAGTAGTTTGCAAAAACCTAAATGACGTCTATCACTTATTCTCGTTATCGGACTCTTTAAGGTCCATTAAAGCAACATTGCTTAGTACGCACGATTTACCTATGTCTTACTTAAACTAGCTTTTATCCTTAAAAGTCGTTATGATTGGAAAATGAATTGTTGTTAAGTATTATCGGTTGCCAGGCTTATGCATGTTTGCGATGGCTTAAGGGTTCATTTGCAATTTGGTCCTGTACCGGTTGTAAGTGTGGGTGTATACCTGCTTTTTTTTTCCGTCTTATTTGTTTTATTGTACTTATACTAAGCTTTATTATTAATTTAATATAAATTTTGCTTTAAGTGCCAATTGAACTCGACTGTTATTTGTTTAGTCGACTTTCATGTATAAGTGGAATTAAAATAAATAAATAAATAAATAAATATTTTGTACGGATATTTGCCTTTTTTTCGATATGGAGATTTTTTTACCATTCGCTGTTTGAAAACCAGCAGAAACAAGCGAACTTTCCGGATTGTTCACTTTGCCCACTTTATCTCGGTTCACTTTACTTTTCACTTCTTCCGATTCGTTTTCAATAGAAATTTCACTCAGGCCAACTGCGTTTTTGCCTTCTCCCAACTCCGGCCGCTGTTCTCCGCTGGCTTCTTGAAGTCCTCATGCAACATTAGTTTCTCTTAGCATCAAGTTTTTAGAGTATTCACTAATATTGTATCTTTGGTTACCTTTAAAGAATTAACACAGGCTATCAAAGAACTGAAAAAACGCTTGTCGCCTGCACGGTAAAATATAAATGCGACGTAGAACTTTATTAA